TTGAAACCTGCAAACATACATGGAAATAAATCATATGAGGCAAAAACAGCCTCATATGATTTATTTCCATGTATGTTTGCAGGTTTCAATAATTCTCAGCCCCCATTTACCATTTTCATTGGAAAACATAAACAAATGAAGGGTGCTCAAGACTTTTGCACAGTCCTGTATAAATTGATAAATTACTATACACGAGTGGCAATATGTAGCTGATAAAACACAAAACGAAAGCAAAATTAAATTTACTTTTTTAATCTAACCAATCATTTTAGTAACTTTTTAGGGAAAGTTGCACAGCATTTGTTTGCTCAAGCTTCTTACATTAAAGTGTTTGTTGCTGCTTCTGTCTTATATAAGGGTAAACTGAATTTTAGAGCAGAATTTGAAGGACTTTTTTGCTAATAGTTGAATTTTTCTTCCTTTGAGAAAATTAATTCTAATAAGCCACTATCGTTTGTTTAGATCTGCACTTAATCTAGCTCAGTCTCTTTTTTTTATTAAATGTCTTTTTGCTCAGCAGTATCATAATGAAATTAATTTGCAAATCATGACAATGCAGAGAAATTGTTGTCTTTCATATTTTAACTCGGCGCAGTTTCGCTAGCTCTGTAATCTCGAGAAAGCCCTCCAGGGCCAAAGCAAACCAAGCAAACATGTCTGTGGCCTTGGCTCGCAAGTCAGTGTTTACTTCGTCATGTGCGCCTGCAGCGAGGATATCGCCCCAGTCTGCACTTCCGGTTCAATAACCGACACACCCCCAAACAGTGTTTCGAGCCAATCAGAGAAGACAAAGACACCCCCCACCCAAACACACTCATACTGCCTCCACCCTATGATTGACACATACACAAAACCGAAGATTTCCGTTTGTAAGCTTGCAACTGTACTAAACAAACCAGTGAAAGCAACGTGTGTAAACGCGACAGCTCTGCAACCGCAGTGGAAAAAAAAGAAGCTACATTCCACTGTAACCGAGACATACAACAAAAAAAGAGGAAAAACGTGTTTCAAGTTTCAATATTTACCAAAAAACTCCCGTCCTCCTCGAAGAACCGTGAGATGACATGTCTGGGATGCGTTTGTTTACATTAATGTTTACGTGACACGTCGGCCAATAGTCTGAGAGCTAGTAGCGAGCATAATCACTCAGAAGCTACAAGGTGTGCTGATTCGTTTATTTTGAAAATTAGATTACTTTAAAAAGTTATTTCAAAGACAATATAACACGCCGTACTTATGCAAAAACACCAACCAGTTGCAGCACTTCGAAAGAAAAAATAATAATTTACTAACTGCTTATGCTTGTCAGCAGGCCGGGGAAATGCAGCTAGGTTTGCTAACGGCTAAAACTAGCTAGACTGATTCACTCATTCAGCGGGTTGAAGGCAAAGCTGAAGGGGTCCACTAAGAACATCCGGGCAAACTGAATATTAATTGAATATGACAACATAACATCGCTGTGAGTTACACTGGAGACCTGACAACTTATCGTGTTCCACCTTTACTGTCCAGACCTAGGCTGCCATTACTATGCAACACCAAGCCGCTCTGGTAGGGGTGTCGTGACAAACTTTGTACCCCGGACAGGATAGGTGTCCCGTTTGGCCCTGTCATCGTGGAGGTCGTTTTGTATTAATGTTCTCCCCGTCAGTGTTCAGAAATCTATTCGTGAGGCTAACGTGGGTTTACAATTGAGTCGTTTTATTGTTTGAAGTAACCGCTAGACCTCCACTGTTAATGCATAAAATAAACTTTAGTGTGAGAAGCCCTGCGACGTCCAGCCACCGTGTTATCACGGGAAGCCTGACTGCAGCGGCTAGGCTTAGCTGACCGCACTCACTCTCTGGGTAGCGGCAGTGGTGGCGCCCCTCTTCGCTGGAAGACCCCGTCCACGAATACACCGTTCTTGCCCAGGCACCGGAGGGAAAAGCCACTCGCCTCGTCGTAGGTGATCTGCAGGTGCCGTCGGGAAATGAAACTCGAGTGACCCATGTTGATGTCCACGGAGCCGTGAGAAGAGTTCCGGCCTATGGTGACCGTTCTTTGGCGCATGACATACTCAAAGTCCCGGCCCTCGAGCCTGGCCAGGGCCTGCGGAGGAGTAGAAGCGAGCCGCACGGGAAGAATCCCGGCGTCTGTGCGGGCATCCATCACCGGAGGACCCAGAAGGGCGAACGAGGGCTGGTGAAAGGTGTGCGAGGTCACCGCGACGCGCACCGGGCTGCACGGAGCCGACTGTAAAGCTAGCAGGGCTCGAGCCCCGGTGTCATCCCGGTAGTCTGCCATCTTCTTTTGGAGGGTCAACACACTCGCACGCGCACACACTTAACTTCTCGCACACACAGAGTTGCAACGTGAGAGTTTTCAGCCAGGGAACTTGTTCACTCCGTGGCTGACGAACAACATGGAGTCCGGCTCAGTGGAAGAACAGGAGCGGAGTCTCCGGGAACCGGACTGGTGCTGCGTTCAGGGACACGTCGTCATAAGCTCACTTGACTGTCACACAGCAACTGAAAAGCGACAGCACACACTATGTTGGCGTACCTTAAAGTAATATCACTTTCACCTTTTCACTAAAGGTTTCAGTGAGAAATATTTAATCCGACATCATGTGACGGTTCAAACATGTGCTACGCATTGATCTTTTTGGTTCAACCCTCTGTGAAATGCACTAAATAACGATTTCCTTGTATTTAACGATTCCGAAATGCCCAAAGTTTAAAAAAAGAAGGAAAAAAACATTTTGCACTTGAAACTGAAAGTAATTTGTGTGATTTCTTTGCTTTGTTCCCCATTCTTTAGTTTCTAGTCTAGCCCTGTAGTCTAAAACTGTGTTTTCATTTCACTTTTTTTTTTTTTTTTTAAAAACACGATTTTTATTGGTTTATTAGGCTGTGGGTTTTTTTTTCCATTACCGTTTTTGTAATCTTACCTTTGTTTTAGGCCTGTTTATTATTTATGCCTGTTTTATCTCTATTTGTATAAACACTGACCAAAATGAAACACGGATCTCATTTGGTGCCCCAAACAATGAAACATGTAACTACATGTAAACATGTATATTCGTTTCATCACTTGGCATCCATACACAGACATGTGTCTGTCTCCACAACCAAATAGGTTAATTATTTACCAATTTAGGGCACCGCTCCAAAGGTTATAGTGAAATGAGGCACAGTACTTTCAACTTCATACTGTCAAAGTGAATGAAAAACATTACTTACAGGATATTTTATTGTGCTTTAAAAACATTGCAACCAACTACTATACAGCATTACGGATTTTCCATTTCAAGAAAGGTCAAATGCAAAGTCATGGTTTTACAGTTAAGAGCTTGATTATGTCAAAATTGGATTAATAGTTTAGGAAAAGTAATCATTAGAAAATTAGCAAATATTTAGCAGAGGTGAAAAACGTGTCGTCTCTCTTTAGAGAGGCATGGTTCCACATGAGACAGAAATTCAAACAGACTTGCTAAGAAGTGACATAATTATGCATTTTAAAAATAAACCCTTTTATTAAATAATTGTGTTACAGAAGAGACTTCTGAAACAATACATTATGAAACAATCCTTACAAACTGCTATCATCATGCATATCATTTATTTATGTAGTATATTTGAACACAGTGCAGTGTTGTTTCTTAGATTTTTTTTAAACAGTGTATTTAAAAGCAAGTTGAAAATAAAAACAAAAACAAATGCAATGGAAACAAACTGCACTGCAGTTGCACAAAACGGCTAAAATAAACATTTTAGACAGCATAGCCCGAAACAAAACTCAGCAATGATTTTAAACGAAAATGGCAGTGAACGCCACACCTGGGGCCCTCTGGACGGACATGGTTCATGTGGTCACAAAAGGAAACTGGTGGTTGTGTTCAGTTTCATCACAGACTTTCTAGGATGGTCTCTTGAGATTAAAATCTAGCTCTTATTCATAACTGATCATTCTTCTCTTTCACTTTCACGTCTTTCCTGGATTCTGGTTACGGTTAGTGCCCAAAAGACTGCAGGTACTGTCTAATATAAATAAATGAAAACGATGCAATTCTCAAATTAAAGCTTCTAAAACACAAAGTATATATTATTGTACATTTGGGCTAAATCCCATTTTAGTCTAATCAAGTGATATGGTTCTATAGTTTTGATGTAATGGCGCGGATTTCAGCTATTTCCAGCGTCATGTAGTCCTCCAATCCAACCTTAAGAACATTTAGTGTTTGCACTGTAGCTGGTTTGCCCGCCTCAGATTTTTTTTTTTTATCTCTAGCCTCTGTTTATAAACATGGAAAGAACAAGATGGACTAAAACCCGGAGAATGGATCAGTGAAGGGGCAAGAGCACATGAACTTAAGGGGAAAAGTGTCCACTTGGGGGCGCTGTTAGAGCAAAAAAAAAGAGGCTATTTTACTTCAGTGCTTCATACAGATATACATTTCTTAAGGTAAAGCTTTTTTTGTTTGTTTTAACATTTGGTAATTAATGCTCTTACACAACAGCAGAAAGCACTCGTGTCTTTATCCCACTCAGGTCGTCCCCATGATCTAAGAGCCTGAGTGGTTAAGAAATGGGCCTGACATTTTAAACTTCTCTTCACTGGCTCCCTTTAAACCTAGAAATCAGGTTAAAATCCACCACATGCCTGTCATTAACCTTTTTCTCCATTTTCCTCCAGAGTTTTAATTTTTTTTTTCCTATTTCTTGTTTGTGGTCTCTACGGCCCCGACCAGGCCCCGCCCTGAGCCTTATTCTGCTCGCTGTGTCTTCCAGGTCAAAAGAAATTTGTCCTCCACATCATCACCAAACCTTTCACTAAAGCAATTATGGGGTCTCTCTCTGGTACTGGTGGGCATTCACTTTAGGTCATATAATGCCTTGAGTTGACTGTTGTTGGAAACTACATAAAACTGAATTTTAACATTTATTTTCCTAATGTGAGCAGCAAAGTGACTACATTCAGAGTTATCTGCAGCGCATAAAAATGACAGGACAGAGTAGAAGAATCTGGACATTCTTTATTGATTTTAAAGATCAGTAAAATGGTTCATCTGTCACTCAGTTAAGAAAAAAGATGCAGAGGCACACTCTTGTACTGTTTCGGTAAAAAACTAGCATTTGCTTCTGTACACAAAAGGTTTGTAACGAGACAATTAAGAAGAGAATCTTTCATTATCATTTTTATTTTTAGCAGGAGGGTTAAGAACGTGGCACCAGCTTCAGTTTGATTGGTCGTTTTGGTTGTAGCAGACCCTGGATGTCCAACTCAAAGGGGATCTGCAAGGAAGTGACATGTAAAATAAATGACAAATACACACAAAACTCTGCCTTCTTATTTCAGATCTCCAAACAACTTAAGGTGGAAAACTGATGGAAAACGTAGAAATGCGTAAAATCCAGTGCTGTGCCAGTTCATGACTTTTTATCTTTGGACTGATATACACGGTGGATGCATCGTCCATATCACTATTAAACTAGCAGTGAATCATTTTGGGACAGGGCTCTTCATACAGCATAAAAAAGGCAATGGCAGTTAGAGAAGATGATCTGGGCTCTCACCTCGGTCTCCTTACACACAGAGAAGCTGTACCTCTGGAGGATCTCCACTATTGCAAGTTTCATCACAACCAGAGCAAATCGCATCCCAATGCAGTTCCTCGGGCCTGCTCCAAAAGGCATGTAGCTGTACGGATCAATTGTCTCCTTGTTTTCCTTGCTGAACCTGAGAACACACACACACACACATGCACACACACACAGTATATTAACAACAGAAACTGGGATATATCCCACAGAGCTTCATTCTGCTTTGTCACATCAGACACCTTTCCGTACCTCTCAGGTTTGAATTTCTCTGGTTCAGGCCAAATCTCGGGGTCCCGGTGCATCGGCCAGGTGGGTACAGACAACCATACCTTTTGGAATCACAAAGCCGTTTATCTCCACACTGGCCTTGGCCACACGCTCCAAACGTGAAGCAATGGGGAACAATCGGAGAGACTCATTGATGACACAGTCGAGATACTCCATCTGCATTAGTTCCTGGTACTGGATGGGAGCCTGAACACAAGCACATAAACATGTCTTTCTGAGCCACTTCTTGATATCACCCACAAACTGGACTTTTGTGGAGTAGGGGTGGGTTTCAATTATCGCTTTTCCGATTAAAATCCATTTTAGCTTGAATAACGGATACTGATTCATTAATTCCTGAATAGATTTTTAAATATACATGTATTGCCAGAATCACCAGAATCTCATGTTAATGTTTTCATTTCAACAACCACCAAACTGCTAAAACAGTAAATGAGAGCAGATAAACGGATTCAACACAAAGACGTAAACAGAAAGCGGATCCGACTCATCAGAGTCTGTGAGATGTCGGCTTTCTCACCCGACAGCAGGTACATGGACACGCGGTCAGGGCTGAAAGAGTCTGAAGCTGCAGGTTTTGTCACTTTCCAACCAAAATTCACTGAACCAGCAGCAAAAGAAGATCAAAACTAGCTTCGCATTAGATAAATATCCTCATTATTCCCTCTTACCTTTGCTGTTTTGCTTCCACCACGATAAAAATCCCACTTCCTGCAAAGCTCTCTCTTTCAGTGTATTTCAAGAACAGTTTCCCTCTCAAATCTCTGTTTTCTGCATTATTCACTTGCTTATTACCCACCAGTCTACCGTTGTTTACAGCGCTGTCGCCCTTTTTTTTTAATGACCTCGACAAGAAAGTCTAATTTCTGCTGTTCAATAGAAGAAATTTAAACTTTTTAAAATTGATGCAAATTGCAAAACGTTGCTGTGTCTCTAAAAACACTCTGTAACTTTGCTCTGCTTCACTTCCAGCAGCATCAGGTAATGTTCATATGTTGATTCAGGTTTTCTTCAGTTTATGATCTACTGCAGAATATTTTTAAGGTATCTGCTATAAAAAGCCAGGCCAGGAAAATCTACCTTCATGTTTTTCTGTGTTTTATCCTCAGTTACTTTGACACAAAGCATCTGCTGTGATGTCACACCTCTGATGAAGTCTCACAAGTCAGTACTGATAAATGATCAGAGATTATAATATTTCTGACTGTCTGAGTCAAATACCTTCAAATCGAATCAAATCGGAACCTTGTGAACCGAAATTGAATCTATTATAGAAATCAGTGACGACACCCAACCCTATTGTGGAGTTCTTCTGCCCTCTAGTGGTACAATTTAAAAACAGCTGTTTGGATTTCTGGTTGAGAGACAGTCTGTATGCACTATTGCAATGTAGTAATTAATCCAAGAAAATACACGAAATAAGGTAAAAGGAAATTAAATTAAAACAGCCTTGAAAAGAAATTAAAGAAAAAAACATAAAACTTCTTATAGGTAAATTTTGAGGTTTATTATGAACTTGATCATTATGCATTCAGAGGGCCCGGTGGCGCCAGTGTCCGGCAGCCTCGCCTCTGTCAGTGCGCCCCAGGGCAGCTGTGGCTACAATGTAGCTTGCCATCACCAGTGTGTGAATGGGTGGATGACTGAATGCAGTGTAAAGCGCTTTGGGGTCCTTAGGGACTAGTAAAGCGCTATACAAATGCAGGCCATTTATCATTGTTAAAAGCTGACTTCTTCTTCTGTGAACTTTTTATGTTGTTTGCAAAGGAAGCTTGTGTTTATTGTGTCTTTGTGAAATGATTTTAACACCACTTTGCAACCCTCCTTGGCTATCACAGCTCCCTGAGACAGCTGGATTAGCCCCCATCACCCCACGACCTTAAACTGGATAGAAGGAAATGGATGGATTTTCGTGTATAAATCAGGATGTGTGTTTGCATTAAAAGGGAGATGAGTCAAGCCTAAATCTGGAGTAAGATGGGACCTCATCAAAGAAAGGTTTTTCTCACTTTAAGACTGCTATTCAGTTCCAGATGTTCTCACTTTGTTACCTTGTTAGGGAAGGTTGCATCCACCTCCTCCTGCAGCTTTTTCATCACCTGAGGGTTTGTTGCCAAATTGTAAGACAAGAAAGTGAGAGAGCTGCTGGTCGTTTCGTAGCCAGCAAAGAGGAAAGTCATCGCTTGGGAAAGGATCTCATGATCTGTCAGACCTGAGGAGGTAGGAGGGATATACACGTTAGAACAGCTTTAAGCTGGTTTTTCCATGTGTGGAGACGTGTGTCCGTGTATCACCTTTATCCTGTTTGGAATTATTATTTTGCTGAGAGTCGATCATTAGCTGGAGGAAGTCCACTCGAGTCTGGAAGTCAACAAACACAGTCTGAGAACAGCTGTGATTTTATGTCAGAGCAGGTTATTGGTACAAACACAAACTCACAGCCGTACCTTTTGTTTGCTGGTCTCTCGATCAATCTTGATCTTCTGTAGTGCAGCGTAAAAGAAGTCTGTGACAGATGCAGGGAAAAAGGAAAACTCCAATTTTTCCAATATGGGAATCATGAAAGGAAAGAAGGCTGAAATTAAACAAACAAGAGGACATTTATTAATGGAAGATGAAGGACAGCAGCTGCATTGATGATCTTGCATGAGCTGCAGTTATAAAAATGTAATGAATACTTTACCAACAGTGAGGAAGATGGGGTTGAAAAAGTCAAATTTCAGCATCTTTTTGATGTTCGTGACAAAAGGATCTGAGGGGTTGTTGAGAGAGTCGATGTCCACACTGAAGGCGGTGCTGGTTACCACATCCATACTGTAGGGTCCGAAAAACCTGCAAAACCACACAAACACATCAAACATGACCTTTATTATTGCAGACTTAGAAGAGGTGAATCTGCGCTTTTTCTGATGTATTTAAATGAAAACAGTATGAGAGTTCTCACTCTTTCAGCTCTAGAGGTTCATCTTTATCTGCTTTCTTTTTCATGCTGCTGATCAGGACAGCTGAATGCTGCTTCATGATGTCAAACATCTGAGGCACAAACAGACAAAAAACAAAAAAGTCAACCCTGAATGCAATTTCAGCAGCACAGAGGTAACACTGTTTTTCTACATCTACATTCGGACTGAACAAAATCCTAAAGAAGGGAGCATTCATGTTAATAGATGTCTTTTTTGGCATTGTATTGTTTTCAGGGCAGAGAGGGATGTACCTCTTTCAATCTCCCAGAGGTGAAGGAGGGAGAAAGGACGCTGCGGATCCTCCTCCACTGATCATCCTCTGCAATGGACACAGCATCGTACAGCGGCCCATTCAGACGGAAATTCTGTAATAACATTCAAAGCAGCTTGTGATGAGGACAGAAGGTCAGATTTTTTTTTTTTAAAAAGAGACTGATTGAGTCGTATAATGTCCTTACTAACCCTGCGGTTTGTGAAGAAAGAGTAACACTCCTTTATCAGGATAGTTTTTATCATAGCAGGATCAGTGATACACAACACGGGCTGACGGCCATCAAAAATGCTGCGTACCATGACAGTAGAAGAAACAAGAAATAAAACAACTGAAATTAATAAGTTCATTTTTCATGTTCACACACACACACACACACACACACACACACACACACACACACACACACACACACACAATCACACACACACACACACAGGCACCTGTAAAACTGAAGCACAGATAATAACCTCACCTATTTACATATTCTATATGCATTCAGAGTCACACAAACACACACTGTAGAAAACACTACTTACCCCCACATTTTCCCATATTTCTTATAACTTTCTTCATCAAAGTTAAAAAATCCCTGGAAACAAGAGCGATACAAAAGATCTAATTATTAAAACACATCATGAGCTGTTTATGACGTAGAACACTGAACAACACCAGATCACACAAAGATCAAGTGTGTAGTGTTGGCTACATGGGGGCAGTACGTGACCATAGGTCACAGTGAAAGTTAAAGAAGGTGGGGCTTATCAAATGGACTTCAACTACACCAGAGAACGATGATACCACAATTAAAAAAATATGTGTCATCTTTCAATTAGACTACAAATCATAGAAAATAGTACTTGGATCATTATGCAAATATGACCCAGGTCAAGCTATTACCAAGACTTTGGAAAATGTAGATAAACTGAGAGAGCAACGAAATCTGGTTCACTGATCTAACACTGCGCACACAGGCAGCGTTCAAAGTGACGTGTGGATCTGAGACATTAATATAGGGATCAGACATTTGAAACAGTCCACAGTGGATACAGTGGATACAGTATATACAGTATATACAGTAAGTGTAAGTGTTATTGCCCACCTTTCTATATTTCAACATGGTGCCAAAAAATGGGATAGGTGATGGCCCAGGGACTCCCAGTCTCTTAAATGTCCCATATGTCCAGCAGGAATACCTGTGAAAAACATGGAACAGGTGTAAGAGAATAAAAGAAGAACAAAAAGTGGAAATAGCTGAACACAACCAGTAGTCTTTAAAACTTACACAAACAGCAGCGTGATGAGGGCAGCCAGCAGGGTCCACGTCTCTGCGGACAAGAAGAAGAAGTACGCCATGTCTGCCAAGTTTCTCTCTTCTCTTCTTCTGTTTTTTCTCTTCTCTCAGTGGTAACACAAGCGTCCTGACCAGAGCCTTTTATATTGTGCTGCACACACATGTTGCATGAGAAAGGGAAGTGTGTGTGAGTTTAGCCAATAGCAGCAGAGAGCGTCAAGTGAATAATTAACAGAGAGAAAGACTGAGGAGCATTTACTGCGTCATAATCACGAGTAGTAGCTCTGCTGTTTGTGACCCTGCAGTTTTCAGCCCTTCATTTTTGTACTTTATGAGTTTAAAACAAACAAAAGAAGCACAACAATGTAATAAAAACAGCTGTGATTAGCATAAAGGTTTTGTTGTTTGAACTTTAACCTTATTGTATTTGGAATTTGAATGTTGCAGAGCAGTCACAGTCAAGTCATTACAAACATTTTTTGGTCAAATTGTTTTATATAAACAGCTTTAAGCTTATACTGTACTCACAGAAAAAAAAACATGTCCAGGCATGTACTCACATCTGTGGGTGAAAGTTCTTTTCCTGTTTTCCTTCAGCCTGGAAAGAGGAAAGAGGCTGGTTTATGTAACAGGACTCCTCCTCTCTGAGATCAGATTACTTTAATGCAGCCGAGCAAGAGGGAGCCATGGGTTTTGTTCTTTTCTTCTCTTTGCAAACATGGATACTGCTGATCACATTTATCTGCATATTTGTTATGTGAGTTAATGTTTACAGTAAAACAGTTTAGATTTAAGCTGGCAACAGCTGAATTGGTCAAGACAAGCAAGTTAACAGTAAACAGTGTTTGAGTGAACCTGTGCACCTTCATGCTTTAACCCCTTTGATGTTCTTTCTAGGTACGGCCACTGGACCTTTGGTATATTTGAGAAGATGGGGATCCCGGGTCCAAAGCCAGTCATGTACTGGGGAACAATAGCCAGGCACAACCGTGTATGTAAATCCTTGTGATTGCTATTTGTAAAGATCGAATGATTTGTACCAAGTTCAGAAGGATACAGTGAATAATGTATAACATATCTTGGTGATAAATATGCATTTCCTGTTAACAGGTTCACTACTTAGATGACTACGAATGTGCTCAAAAGTATGGGAGGATATGGGGGTGAGTTTGTAAAACTGTCCATATAAGAGCTTGTGCGTGTTTTTAATTTATTTCTTTGTTTTTGTCAGCACAACTGGAGTCAAAGTTCCTTCAGCAATTAAAAATATTTTCCACTACAAATACCTCCCAAAATGCAGATGTGTTCTGTGTAAATGTTCAGTGTGTATGAGTTCAGGAAACCCATGCTGGCTGTGATGGATCCTGACATGCTGAAAACCATCCTGGTGAAGGAGTGCTTCACCTACTTTACCAACCGCAGGGTGAGAACACGAACATGAAATGAACACTGACTGAAACAAAACACCCAACAGTCTGTTATAGTAAAACTTTGTGGTAACTAGTAACCCTGGGATATGATTGTTTTTTGTTTTTTCCAATAAAACGATCAAAACAATCAAAATGATCAAATCATCCTGCTGGAAATACAAAATTTCAAGAAATGTTTTCGCGAGTTCCCTCAGTAACAACAGAAGCTGAAAACACTGAAAACTGTGAAAATCCTCTGCTCACATAATTTCCATCCATGTTTCAGATAAACTCTATTCATGATTATGATAAATACCACTGCACTTGAATATGACATACAGTCAAGCTTTGCTCTTTCGTACCTTTTATCGCTGGAAAAAAGTGTGATATTCGACCCAAAGGTGGTTGAAACATGCTAATGTTAGCATGTGTACATACAGCATACAACAGTAACATATCAAGCACGCTCACTTTCTGCTCTGACATGGCTCTTTAGCTTTTAAAATGATATAATAACACTTTTAACATAGCACATGTTCAAAGATGTAACAACTTACACTATCAGTCAAAAGTTTGGACACACCTTCTCATTTAATGTATTTTTATTTTTATTTTTACTACTTCCTACATTGTAGATACAAACTGAAGAAATCAGATATATGAAGAAAGATATATGGAGTTATGTAGCAAAGTCTTATATTTTAGATTCCTTAAAGTTGCCACCCTTTGCTTTGTGACAGCGCTGCAAATCCTTGGCCTTGTTTCAATGAGCTTCATGATGTGATCACCTGAAAAGGTTTTCACTTCACAGGTGTCCCCTGACTACAAATGTAGTCCTCCAATCCAACCTTAAGAACATTTAGTGTTTGCACTGTAGCTGGTTTGCCCGCCTCAGATTTTTTTTTTTTATCTCTAGCCTCTGTTTATAAACATGGAAAGAACAAGATGGACTAAAACCCGGAGAATGGATCAGTGAAGGGGCAAGAGCACATGAACTTAAGGGGAAAAGTGTCCACTTGGGGGCGCTGTTAGAGCAAAAAAAAAGAGGCTATTTTACTTCAGTGCTTCATACAGATATACATTTCTTAAGGTAAAGCTTTTTTTGTTTGTTTTAACATTTGGTAATTAATGCTCTTACACAACAGCAGAAAGCACTCGTGTCTTTATCCCACTCAGGTCGTCCCCATGATCTAAGAGCCTGAGTGGTTAAGAAATGGGCCTGACATTTTAAACTTCTCTTCATTGGCTCCCTTTAAACCTAGAAATCAGGTTAAAATCCACCACATGCCTGTCATTAACCTTTTTCTCCATTTTCCTCCAGAGTTTTAATTTTTTTTTTCCTATTTCTTGTTTGTGGTCTCTACGGCCCCGACCAGGCCCCGCCCTGAGCCTTATTCTGCTCGCTGTGTCTTCCAGGTCAAAAGAAATTTGTCCTCCACATCATCACCAAACCTTTCACTAAAGCAATTATGGGGTCTCTCTCTGGTACTGGTGGGCATTCACTTTAGGTCATATAATGCCTTGAGTTGACTGTTGTTGGAAACTACATAAAACTGAATTTTAACATTTATTTTCCTAATGTGAGCAGCAAAGTGACTACATTCAGAGTTATCTGCAGCGCATAAAAATGACAGGACAGAGTAGAAGAATCTGGACATTCTTTATTGATTTTAAAGATCAGTAAAATGGTTCATCTGTCACTCAGTTAAGAAAAAAGATGCAGAGGCACACTCTTGTACTGTTTCGGTAAAAAACTAGCATTTGCTTCTGTACACAAAAGGTTTGTAACGAGCACAATTAAGAAGAGAATCTTTCATTATCATTTTTATTTTTAGCAGGAGGGTTAAGAACGTGGCACCAGCTTCAGTTTGATTGGTCGTTTTGGTTGTAGCAGACCCTGGATGTCCAACTCAAAGGGGATCTGCAAGGAAGTGACATGTAAAATAAATGACAAATACACACAAAACTCTGCCTTCTTATTTCAGATCTCCAAACAACTTAAGGTGGAAAACTGATGGAAAACGTAGAAATGCGTAAAATCCAGTGCTGTGCCAGTTCATGGCTTTTTATCTTTGGACTGATATACACGGTGGATGCATCGTCCATATCACTATTAAACTAGCAGTGAATCATTTTGGGACAGGGCTCTTCATACAGCATAAAAAAGGCAATGGCAGT